CATCTCTCAACATGGTTTTCTCTTGTTTTAGTCAATAGTCTGAATGGTATTATTATGTCGACTGTCAATAGTAGGTGTTGGTGTGACTGTAAGCCAAGAGGAGAGACACACTCTCACACCCACACCCTTGCAGGTAAGTTTTAAATAGTTTGATGGTTAAAAAAGATCTTGTTAGATTTTAACTTAAGTGATTCTGCACTTGATTCATTGATGATGAAACCCTTTAATACAGATTTACGAGATTTGAACTTATTTTGGATTAATGGTCTTTTATATGTATTCCAAGCAGTGATTCAACATTTTGAACATGCAGCAAGTCTCTATATCATAAAAAATAAAACTCTTAAAAATAATTTGATCGATTTTTTGTTAGGATACATAAAGACAATGATTATAGTAATCAATGGTAAATAAATGTTTTTAAAAATTGTTTTTTTTTATATGGAAATTCTTGATTATGATAATTACAGAATTTGATTTTAGAAGGAATAAATTGTGACATATGTAGTTCTTTTCTTTATTCTACCACCATTTTTGCAAACGCGATAAGAATGTACTGTTCTGGATCTTGTCATTATCAATTTCTTTTTTCGAGAATAAAATCTTCCCAAAAAACTGTTTCATTTGATATTTCTCCTTCGTTTCTTTCTTACTTGGAAGTTGAATAAGTTTTCCCAATCGTTTTGATACAGATTTGATATAATCGTCGTCTTGCGAGTTTATGAATAATATTTGTAAACTTTTGAAATTCTTCAGTACTACCATGATATTATCTGCATACCGTTCAATTTCGTGTAGCTGATTGTTATAGATATTAAAAAAAATACGTTCCACATTCGAAAAATAAAAATAACTTATTTGCGTTAATGGTTCGAGTGAAAAATAATTCGTTAAAACCAATTTTTTTATCCTTTGATTTAATATCGGAGTTAATTCACTAGACATTGAAGGTAATTTCGTAGAATATAAAATCAAATGTTTTAAATTTGGTAGGAGATGAATTAACCATTCTTTTTCATCTTCAAGTGATCCCTTCATACATTTTATCGTTGTTACCTTATCGAATGTAATATGATTTCTCAAGTAGACATCTTTTGATTTCTTCACGCTAATATTATCAATTGAATTGAAGTTGATAAAAGTTAATTTTGGCATTTTTCTTTTCATTTGTTTTAAAAAATTCAAATCATATTTCGAAGTTAGAAGTAAATCAATAGATTTAACATGAGACCATGTTCGATCGCTGTTCAATAAAATATTAGAATGAGTTAATTGAACATCGTCAAAACCACCATAAAATTCATGGAGATGATCAAAATGAAATGGTAATGTATAAAAGTATTTTCCATGTAGTCCAAATGACCAATTATGATCAAACCAAAATGGATCGCGAAATTGAGATAAAAGAGTTTCTTTGTTATCTAACAATTGAACTAGTTTAACATAGAGATGAAATTGTTTGAGTTCGTTCATTGGTTGTAATAATTGTCGAAATTGTATTTTGTCAAAAAGAAAATTATCAATAGTTGGCGTTGATAAATTAACCAAATCGAGTGATAGACAAGTTAATGATGATGAAAACTGATTTATAGCATCGATCAATCGATCAATATTAAATAACATAATATAGTTTACTCCGAATGAAATATAATTAGAGAATTTCAGATATAATGATTTTAATCTGATGTTAGTTTTTATCAGCCTTCCTCCTGTAGTAGCGGGGCTTGTACAGCGAACATTTAAATATTCTAAATTTGGTGTATATGAAATTAATTTAAATATATCACCGAACTCAGCCAGAACCAGTTTTAATGAATGTAAATTTGCATTAGTTTGATAAGTAGTTGAATAGTTTAGTGATACTCCTGTACTTAATGTAGAATGGAATATTTTTAAGGTATTTCGACGAGTGAAAACGTTTTCAAGCACATATTCGCTACTGAGTAGGATAAAATGACCTGAATAAGATATATAAGATGAATCGCGGGGAAAGAGGATTCCACAACCTCCTATTTTGAATGAATGTAATTGTTGAAAATGTTTACTTTTGATGATTAATTCCAAATGATTTAGCAAGTAAAAATCGGATGAAGAGAAAGTGAATGATTTCAAATTTGGAAAATATGTCAATGGAAATGAGGAATCGATTTTATTTATATCTAATGATTTTATTAGAAAACCAATAACTGAAAGAATATTTTTCCATGTATCAAAGTTTTTGTTAGGTAATTCTAAATGTTGCATATAATGTTGATTTTGTAACATCAAATCGTTAAATCGCGTATTGAAATATAAGAATGTGTAAATAATGTCATTATTAGATAAATAATTAAATATCATAAGAAGAACTTCTGTAGGTAAATAGTCAAACCATGTCATCGTTTCAATATTTCTACGTCTTGTAGTTTCCATATTGAAAACAATCTCTCGAAGAAATCTCTCTGTCAGTATGTATGTATGTATGTAAATGCTCCATTGTCATATGAATAATAAAATTCTTATCTCAATTCTCCTTGAGCAAACGATATATAGAAATCAAATCTGTAGTACATTTTTTCAAAGTAAATATGTATACTTATAAAATTCTTTTTAGTTAAAATAAATGAAGCACTCATGTCTTTCTTATCTAAATAATAGATGAATTTATAATGAGGGTTTTAAAAGTATTTGATTTGACAATTGAGGGCGGGTGTAGATGTGGAAAAATCTGCAACAGAGCGCAAACACACCGACACTCACATCCAATTATGTGACGAGTCTAAAGTTATAATAATAATGAATAGAATAATAAAGAAATTTGAAAAATTAATGCTTTATTTCTATTTATTTGAGATCGTTCGATAATGATCTTCTACTAAAGTTTATTTATTGTAAATGTTATAAAAGATGTAGTGCGAGATTATAATAAAGTATAAAAAACATGTATTTCTAAATTATGATAGTGTTTATTTAAGATGATTATTGACGTTCTTTGATCTTTTCTGACACCATCTTCTCCGAATATTCCCACCATTCACGTGCTCGTTCTGGATTGAGTGCATGTGGATTACCTAGTTCAGTTTCGTGACAATCTGAATAATATTTCCCTGATATGACATCGTCTGATACAGCACAAAATAGATTTGTTTGAGTACCTTCAAGTTGCGTCTTGAAGATGAGTAATCGAAATGGAGTAGAGATCAGTTTAAATAGAGGCAAATGTCTTGCTAGTCCTGTTTCGACTGCACCGGGATGAAGAACATATGATTTAAGACCTTGTGCGCCGAAACGGCGATGTAGTTCTTGAGTAAAATAGATATTAGCTGTTTTACTGATAGAATAAGCAT